AAATTTCTGGAGAGCTATTAAAGGAAAAGAAACCCATCTATTATATTCTTTCTCCCCATCTATTATATTCTTAATGGTCTAGGATAAAACATTTTATCAAGATAAACCTGGACTGAATTTCTTGTCATAGATTCTAATTCAGATAAGGCGCTCCAGGCTTTTCCCTGCATATTTAGACCATATAATGCAATATGCCAAGATTGGATAGCACCAGAAGTGGCCCCTCAAATTTAGAGCCAGAAGGCTACAGGAGAGAGAGTGACTATTAAAAACACTAAACTCCGGGAGAACGAGAGTAAGAGGGAAAAAAAAATTGCCTGTCATAGAGGCAAGCCAGGAAGCAGGAAAAAAACTGGGGACATTGGTGGAGGGTTTGATGTTGCAACATTGTTCGCCTAAAACTCAATCGTCAATAACCTTGTATTTCTGTAATTTATGGCCATTCAATAAAATTATTTTAATTAAAAAAAAAACCACTAAAGTCCAAAACATCTAGATTTTTGGTTCTTCACCTCTCGTTAAGAAACGACCATCATTTGTTCCTGTTGTAAGAATTTGAATCAACAGATTGGACACGTGGAAATTCGATGGTGGGGGAGTGGGGTCTGGATGGGAGTAGAATGTAGGTGAATACACAAATAATTGAAGAGAAGGCTTGTCAACTCTCCTGCTGACTGGTGGAGCTGCAGAACGTGAGTGAAATGCCCCAATGATTCACCTTTGCCCAACCTAGCGCTGGGTGAAGAGGAAGGAATGTCCGGGTACCGGGATGCTCGTGGAAAGCGGGGTATCCTCAAGGTCGTGGCTCTTGCAGGAAAGGGCCTCTACTCCTTGTGGAATGGGAGTCGGCTCGTGCTGTTTTTACTGGTTAATGGAGAAGCCACGCTAACTGGTAGTGTTGGGGCTGGGAATATTTTTAACGGGAGCAAGCTGGAAAACGTTTGAACTCGGTAATATTGGGAATGAAGGGAAGAGTCAAAAAAGTGGAGAATGCGGGCATCGATCCCGCTACCTCTCGCATGCTAAGCGAGCGCTCTACCATTTGAACTAATTCCCCGCCACGCCGCGCCGCTCTTCCTCGCTTCCTCTTCTTAAGGTCGAGACGCGGCTCAGCGCGCGCTGGGGGTCCGTTGGCAGGACCGAGCACACAGCAGCCAAACCCCAGAGGCCACACGGCCCGGAGGCGATCCCGCCCCGCGGCGCCACCCGTTTTCCGTCCTGCAGTAGGTCGGGTTGAGACCCCAGGGTGCGTGGGGTTTCCCAAACGCCCGTCTCCGACGTGCGGCCAGAGTGAGACGCTGGAATCCTGAAGCTCCGGGAGCCGGAAGGGAACTGCAGGTACACCCGGGAGGAGAAATCAGATTTCTCAAAGACGGTTGTGTTGGGCCTTTCGCACAGCACCTGCCATCCCGCACCCCTAGACGTGCAGACAGTTGGTTCTACTGGACCCCGGAACTTAAAAACACACTTGGCCGGGTGGATTCTCTGGGATTTGCTTCCTTTTTGTTCAAGTCACCGCGTGTGGACGTTTCGCCACGAGGGGGCGCTCGTCCCAGTTAACGTCTCCGGTTTCTGTGAATTTCAGTTGGAACCAACAGGTTTTTTTCTAGGCCGGGAAGCGAATGCTGTAGCAGGCTTAGATTCGGGTCCTTGCAAAACCAAGACAATAGTTGCTTGTTTTTCTCCGGGGCCTGTTGAAAACTCGGCATCAAGCGCTGTGCTAGGTCTACTTTGCAGAACTAGAAGAGGAGGATCATTCGCTGGGCATTGCCAAAGGGTCTTCACTGCAAGGAAGTCATGGGAAGGCCCTCGTCCAACATTTACAACACGTTCGATTCCGTTTTTTTTTTTTTTTTTCCCCCTGAAATTTCATCGTCAGCAGCTTCCTTTTGGGGTGGAGGAATATTGATCTATTAGTGGTGATGGTGTGAAGAGCTGAGACACGAGCCGTAAAAAACATATACAAGTCTGGTATACTGCCACTCTTTTGAAATCTATTTTTTAAAAGGACTCAGGTATTTGATATTATTTTCTATTAAGTCGGGCCAAGGTGATCCAAATAGAAATGAAGAAAAACATAGCTGGGAGTTTAGGTTTCCAGTAACGCTGGATTGGGTTTCCAGTAACACTTGAATAGGTAATCCAATTTTCAGTTTACGAAGAGTTCCCTCTATTGAAGAGGACTCTTCTATTTTCTGCCTTGTGAAGAAAGGAGGTGGGACTCCTGAAACAACTGTGAATTTAAAAAAAATGTAAGGTTTAAACTTTTGCTTCAGTATGATTACGCAATATAATAGAGACATAATTTACCCACTAAGAAAATGTACACACACACACACACACAAATATAGAAAGAAAATGTACTCAGGCAAAACTAATTCCACATGTTTCTTTATTGGTTATAATTTTCCCTCGGGACTTTTCGAAAAGAGAACTGCAATTTATCTACATGTTTTGAACACTGTTCAGTTTACAACTATGAGATCCTCTTAACCCAGTTGTTTGAATTAAGTTCAACCAGCTCATGTTTAGAGCAAACCTAGAAATTGCTGAGGGAAAGAGGAGTGAATCAGTCAGGGCCACAAGGCACTGGCCATCCACTCTAGCTATGTTTCACCTAGGGGAGACCATGTTTGATTTGAGATATGCATAACTACCCTCACATCTAAAGTGTACAACATAATTATAAATTTCATGTTTTTATATACAAATCCATGGAATGAACACTCTAAGGAGTCCGTGGAATGTTTAATGCTTCTTTAAAAAGAATATGAACATTATTAGAACAAAAGTCATCAGAACATTGATTCAGGGATTGTATAATAAATACTTCCGAGAGTGAGGCTTCTACAGACTCCTTCGATAGCTCAGTTGGTAGAGCGGAGGACTGTAGGTGTGAGACTAATAGTCATCCTTAGGTCGCTGGTTCGAATCCGGCTCGAAGGACGTTGGTTTTTGAAAACTGGATCTGTGCGCCTATTAAGGTAAAAATACATTGTGTATAACTCAGATATTTTCAGCAAAAGATTAGTTTGGCGTTTCACTTCTAAACACTTTCGGGAGAGGCCCGGTAAATTAGATTGCAGACGGAGGGCTCTTCCAGGGAACTCGATTTCACTTTTGATTTGTGAAATTCAAACTTTCCAAGCTTCTTTTCCTCAATCAGTTACCCTCTCCTGCGAGTACCATTCCCTTCTCCTGCGGGCTGAGGTTTCTCTATTCCACTCTTAAAAGATCCTTGGCCAGTCTTTCTCCTCCAACCCAATCCGAGAGGGGCTTCTGCAGCGTCTACACCCGGGCAACAAATTGGAGGACGTTCGGGAAAGGACATTCAGTCCCCAAAAGCTTCTGATTTCCACTGGGCAAACGGGTGAGCCACGGCCTTTGAGGGAGACGGTGCTGGGGTTTCGGGCCCCTGTCCTCTCGGAGGTTTAAAAATGATTTTAAAATTTGGGATCAATTTCAATCTAAATTACACCCCGCAATGGAGAATTAAAAAATTTCAGCGTCCCCGTTCCCCACAACCCCCAGTTTACACTCCATTCCAACGTCGTCATGGACATACAAACTGTGTCCATGCGAAGGGACACAGCGAAGGGATATTCTCATTTTGCCCACTGTTGTATTTACACGAGTTAGAAATCGGGTGAATAAAGGGTTAATTCCTACCCTCTCTCCCCTGATTATATTGAGGACTACTAACCCAAAAGTCGCTTTTCTGAAAATTAACACGGAAGGGCGAGGAGAGCGCGGCCAGCGCCAGCTGAGGTTGCGCGCGTGGCGCCCCCTGGTGGGCGCCCCGGGAATGGCCGGAGCCGGCCTCGGAGTTCGAGTCTCTCCCTCTTCCCAAGCGGGTTAGGAAGCCGAGAGCCACCGGGCCTGGCAATGTAGACCCTCCCGGCTTCGAAGTGAGTTCCCGTTGCCCAGCAGAACGGGGAGCCCGTTGGCAGGCCCGCGAGCAGCAGGCGCGTGACTAACGGGCAGCAACACCCAGTCGGTTTGCGACTAGAACGGGGCCCGCCAGGTTCACTGGGCCCCGCGCCTGGGCGAACCATCATCCGAGGGATTGGTCCATCATATCTCTTGTTGCGAGAGTGTTTTGTCGTGGAAGAGCTTCATAAACACGACTCATGTGTGCTCATGTAGACGAATCACTAATCATGTATCAGGATCACGATCATCCTGTTGTTCTCTTCGATTGCCTCGAGCAGGCCCCAGTAACGTCTCCTCCTCCTAGCCCTGAGGTTTTAAAAAGTGCCACATTCAAGGCTCTTTCAGGGTTAGGAGAATGGGACCCATCATTGTTACTGGTGTTTGGCATATTGGGTACGCCTCGGGGAGTTTGCCAGACTCTGCCGTGTGGACAGGTTACATTCGGTAGCCTGCCAGGTTGTCCAAAGTAAGAATGAGATAATAAGATGTATACTCATCACTAATCATGTATACTCATGGTTACCCATGACTGTGTCTCAGGACATGTCTCAGGACATGTCTAAATCCTTAGGGAAACTGAAACTGCCGAGCTCAACCTTCAGTCTCAATCAGTGCAAGACCGTTAAAATCAAGATGTAACTGCAGCTAGGTGGTTCCCGTTTCAGATGTGACAATAAGTGACAACTGTGACAGGGGTCAAGGCCCTAAGCACAGAGGCACCCCGGTCCCCGGGTAAAATGCGACTCCGACAGCCGGGACACCTGCCACCACCAGTCCCCAAAGAGCTCTCCAGAATTTTCGCGAGAAACGGCCCCGCGCGGCCTCTCCCGGCGTCCGACAAGTCGCTGTCAATCCCGTCCTGTTCCAGTTCTGCCTTGACCAACTCTGCTCTCTCCGATGGCTCTCAGGTGGGCCGGGCGATGTCCAGCCCCGAGACCGCCCCCAGCGCCAGCCCGAGACCCACTTCCGCCCTTTCCCGGCGACCGCACAGGCCCCGCCCCTCGCAGCGGGCGGTCGCGCGCGTTTGACGTCACGCGGCGCGCGGCGCTTCTTCCGGCTCGTCGTACTTCCGGCACTGGCCAGTATGGACGCCGCGGAGTCCCGCAGGGAGGCCGGGGACTCGGAAGAAGAAGCCGCGGAGCAGGAGCCCGTGGAGGGCGGAGAGCCGGGGGCAGAGGCGGAGGAGGAGCAGGAGGAGTGTGAGGAGGCGTCTGGCGGCGGCCGGAAGCGGGTGGTGCCCGGGATTGTGTACCTGGGCCACCTCCCGCCTCGCTTTCGGCCTCTGCACGTTCGGAACCTTCTGAGCGCCTATGGCGAGGTCGGGCGCGTGTTTTTCCAGCCCGAGGGTAAGTGCTGGAGGCCCGGCGGCTTGGGGACGGGGGCGACGCTCGGTCCCGCTAGGAAACACGCTTGAGCTTCTCGCAGCCGGGGCCTGTCGCGCCCGAGGCGCCGTGGGGGCGGGGGACGGTGGAGCGGCGCCCCCAGCTGAACCCCGAATCTCCGCATACGCCTGCGGATTTTCGATGACCCGAATCGACTTTTGATGAACGGGGACAGCCTGAAGAGCAGTCTAAAGAAATCACCTTTTATTTATTATTTTATTTGTTTTTTGCTTTTCGGGTCACACCTGGCGATGCTCAGGGGTTACGCCCGGCTTTGCACTCAGGAATCACTCCTGGCAGTGCTCAGGGGACCCTATGGGGCGGATGCTGGGAATCGAACCCGGGTTGGCCGCGTGCAGGCATTAGCACCCTACCCGCTGTGCCATCACTCCAGCCCCCGCCCCCCCATCGCCTTTTAGAAACCACGCGCGTCACGTGTCTTGTTAGCGGTTCCCAGCGCGGGACGGGCCGTGATCAGCGCCACCCCCCTCCCTCCCGTGATCAGCGCCCCCACCTCCCTGCCCCGGCACTGAATGGAGTTGGGGTGGGAGGGCCTTGCGGGGTTGAAGCAACGGCTCGAGCTTCACCGACGGAGTCGAGAGAGGCCGAGGGGGGATGAGGTTGCAGGGGAAGGTGGGCGCGGGTGGGGAGGGGGGATCCCGGCCCGGCCTGGAGGAAGGGGCGAGGGGTGCCGTCGAGTGGGTGCAGCGGCGGCCGCCCTGACCCTTGGCTGCGTTGGGCACGCAGACGGGTTCGTGAAGCGCAAGAAGAAGAAGGCGGCGGCGGCGGCGCCCGGCGGGAAGAAGCGGTCCAAGTACAGCAAGGACTACACCGAGGGCTGGGTGGAGTTCCGGGACAAGCGAGTCGCCAAACGCGTGGCCGCCAGCCTGCACAACACGCCCATGGGCGCCCGCAGGCGCAGCCCCTTCCGATACGACCTGTGGAACCTCAAGGTAAGGCGCCTCCGTCCCCTTGTGGCCCCCCGCGCCCGCCCCCTTCCCCAGGCGGCGCCCCCCCAGGCAGGCGTTTGTTCTTCCCGCCCGCAGTACCTGCACCGGTTCACCTGGGCGCATCTCAGCGAGCACCTGGCGTTCGAGCGGCAGGTGCGGCGGCAGCGCCTGCGGGCCGAGGTGGCCCAGGCCAAGCGCGAGACGGACTTCTACCTGCAGAGCGTGGAGCGGGGCAAGCGCTTCCAGGCCGCCGCCGGCGACGCCACCCGCCCCGATGGCTCGTGGGCTTTTGCCCAGCGCCCCACGGAGCAGGAGCTCCGGGCCCGGAAGGCAGCGCGGCCGGGGGGCCGGGAACGTGCCCGCCTGGCCAATGTCCAGGAACAGGCCCGCTCGAACCGAGGCCTCCTCGCCAGGATCTTCGGGGCCCAGCCGCCTTCGGACACCGCACAGAAGCCTCGGGTGACCGACTCCGCCACCCCCTAGCCCAGCGCTGTTTCCAGTCTTGTCTGATGACCGTCCAGGCTGGCTTTGGTTTGGGGGCCACACGCAGGGGTGCTGAGCTGTTGAGGGATCACCCCCCAAGCTGTGCTCGGGGACCAGGGTCCGCACATGCAGAGCGAGCCTCTCACTGGCCGCCACCTACCTCCTGCCCTCTCTGGGCCCCACTTGACTCGCTGGCCTGTCTGTCTGGCCTTCACCTTACCCCTTCTCGCTGGCCTCCTCACCCCAACCCCTGTTCCCTCTCGGGCCCCAGGCCAGCTTCCTAGTGCTTCTCTGGTGAGTGCTGACCCTCCATCAGGGGCTTTTTAACTCCTGTATGTGCGTGCCTGAGGTGCCTTACCCATGTGGCCTGAGCGTTTGGAGTGAATTTTCACGTAGGGATATTGAGTGACAGGAAATAACAGATGACCCTTGATATGGGTGTTCCATACTACCAACATGCAACAGCTGTTAGACCCAGGGCTGAGGGGTCATCTGTGGACTGCAACACGTGCCTTACGTGTGGGAGTGGGGTTTTGTCCCCTGCACTGAGTGGCCCAGAACACGGAGTAGGAAGCAGACCCTGAGCTCTACCAGGTGTGACCCCAAAGCAAACCCTGCAGAGGTTGCTGGAGACCTCAGGTCAGGGCGTGGGAGGGGCAGAATGCGTGGGGGGAGCGTGGCTGGCTCTGGAAAGGGAAGGACCTCCAGGGTAGCTCCATTCCTCACCACCAGATCACTCCTGAGGAGTGAACAAAAGTTCCAGAAGAGCTTGGTGTACTCCAGTTGGTAAACAGTTGGCACAGGTAATGTTGGACTCAAACCATCTAAGAGTGGAGGAGGTGGAAGGGCCCATAGGATGCCTCCAGGTTCATTTCTTGTGGGGACTTTGCATCGTGCATTTCCACAGGAGGAGCTAAAAATTGGGATGTCTCTGTAAGAGATCTACGGTCTTAATATGGATTAAAACTGTTCAGAGGTGGTGAAACTTGAAGTGGTACTGTGATGATTTGTTCTGTTTCCTCTCACAGTCGTCAGTATGATAACCATGCGTTCTTTTGTTAAGTGGATTCATCTACTTTGACTCAAGTCTCGTTAAGATTTTGATTAAGCACACGAGTGGCCAGACAGTAAAAAAATGACTGATAGTACCGCAGAGGGTGCTGGTCTCCACCCTGCCAGCCGGGCTCATTGCACCTGGGTTCAGTCCTCATGTCCGATATTTGCTCCTTGATAACTCCTGAAGTCTCCAGCCTTTATTTTTATTTATATTTTAATAGATTATGTAGAGTTAAAATTTGATGTTTAGATGATAATCAATTGATTACTGGGAATTATAGTCAGTTGCTTCTTAGTTCAATAAGTCACAGTGTAAAGAAAATACAATCTTTAATCTTTCATGCTCTAACTAGTACATTTTCTGTGTAAATATCCTGGGCTCATCGGAAAGTTTCTGATTTCAGATACACATAAATTTGAGGACTATGATTTTGACTTTACATAATTAGAATCATGGAGACATCATGTTTTAAAGGATTAAGCACATTTTTACTAATTAGGGTAAAATGGTTAAGTTAACTTTTGCCACATCATTTTGGTGGATGTATATTTACCCAATTTGGAGCGATAGCACAGCATATAGGGCATTTGCCTTGCACATGGCCAACCTGGGTTCGATTCCTTCGCCCCTCTCGGAGAGCCCAGCAAGTTACCCGTGTGATGTATTTGATAAGCCAAACACGGTAACAACAATTCTCAAAAATGGAGATGTTACTGGGCCCACTTGAGCAAGTCGATGAACAATGGGAGGACAGTGACAGTAACCTATTTTCTCTCAGATGTCACTAGGATAAAACAGAGCTTTGTCTTCTGAGCTTACTAATGACAGTTCCCCCCCCCCCCCTTTTTTTTTTCAGATAGTACTTTGAGGTCCCAAGCACTGTAGCACTGTTCTCCCGTTCATCGATTTGCTCAAGCGGGCCCAGTAACATCTCCATTGTTGAGATTTGTTACTGTGTTTGGCATATCAACTATGTCACGGGTAGCTTGCCGGGCTCTCCGAGGGGGTGGAGGAATTGAACCCAGGTTGGCCAGGTCGGCTGCGTGTAACGCAAATGCCCTACCTGCTGGGCTATCGCTCCAGCCCAAGAAATCACATAAAATTACCCTTTTCTCAGTACTCTTAACGACTCCATAGGTTTTCCAACCCTGCTGTCCTGATTAATTTTTCAGCTCCCACAAAACACCTCTTGTTTAAAAAGTCCCTGAGGGGCCGGAGCCACAGTACAGTGGCTACAGTGGTTGCCTTGCACGCTGCCAACCTGGGCTTGATCCCTGGCTGGTTCCCTGAGCATGAACCAAATACAAAAAAGAGCTGCTAAATATTGTCCCACGTGATCTCGCTAACATCCCTCGCTTAGCTTTGAAGCAAGAGACCCGAATTTTCAGAGACCCTCTGTCTGAGATGGCAATCATCTTAACCGGTAACAGGGAAAAACACAAGGCTTAGAATAAATTTTAGCTCACAGCTTGAATTACAGACATGTTGAAATCTAAAAACACATCAGTGTACAATCTCCTTTAATGGACAGATTCAAATACGAAAAACTAAATGGTTTGGCCGAGCAGAGGCTTTCTATACGGGAGGCTGAGTCGGTTCCCCGCACCGCATGGATGGTTTCCCGAGGACGGCTAGGAGTGACCCTCAAGCACGGCCAGGAGTGGTCCCTGAGGCCAGGTGTGCCTCAGCCATTAAAAATCTGAATCAGAAAGAGTGTGAGTGTGTGTGTGTGTGGGAGGGGGAGGAGGAGGAGGAAGAGAGCAAGCAGAGAACTTGGAACAGCGATAATGAATTTATAAAACAAGCTGAGCAAGGTGCTTGCCTCGCACACAGCTGACTCGGGTTTGATCCCCGGCATCCCATAGGGTCCCCAAGCAGCACCAGGAGTGACCCGAGTACTGTCAGGTGTGGGAACCCCCAAAATAAAGCCGTAGAGCTGCTGAGCTAAATACTAGAGGGACTTAACAGTAGTGAGTAGCGAGTCCTCCAGAGTAGTGAGCTGGAGAGTACAGAGGTGAAATGCATATGAAAAGCAAATGAGAAACAATTATAAAATATGCAGTGTGGAGCCCGATGGGGATATATCAAGAACAACACCCTCATCATAGAGACCCGGAGAGAAAAAGAGAATGGAACAGAAACCTTAAAGGGTTAATGCTCAAGAACTTTCCTAATTTGGGTAAGGAAATAAGTACCCAAATGGCTAAAACAAAACAAAACAAGGGACAGTTGGGCCCCCACCCATCCAAACTGCCCCAGCAGCCAGAAACCTCCACACTCCAGCCTGCCATGCTCACAGCTGACTCTACCACTTGGGAAGAGGCTCATTCAGAAATTGAACTGCTGAAAAACTGAGGTACGTAGGGTGTCTTTTTTTTTTTTTTTTTTAATTTTTCTTTTTGGGTCACACCAGGTAGTGCGCACAGGGGTTACTCCTGGCTCATGCACTCAGGAATTACTCCTGTCGGTGCTCAGGGGACCATATGGGATGCTGGGAATCAGGCCCAGGTCGGCCGCGTGCAAGGCAAACGCCCTACCCTCTGTGCTGTCACTCCAGCCCCGGTACGTGGGTTTTGTGACTGAAATTTCCAGGTTCTCTCAGAGTTGGGGATGGGTGACATTCCCCAGTCCCCTAGTTCTTCCGGAAGCCTGGCAGTCATGCCCATGAACTGCCTCTGGGCCAGATAGGCTCATTAAGAAGCCAAGATCCAGAGACTCATAAGTAAATCTCAAAAGACCAACAAGTTGCAGCAGATGCTTCCAAACCCAAAGTCACCAACCAGTTAAAGATTTTAACTACAGCTGTATCACCCCATTCAAAAGTTTTGAATTCCCAGAGCAGCACCTCCAACTGTACACCACTGATGATTAATCTGGAGTAGCACACAGCATTGGATGGGATGTAAAGTAGAAGGCAGCCAATCTGGAGTAACAAAATACAAACACAAGGCTTAATCGGTAACAACATGTTGGTAATCTCTTATTCAAGGGCTTGATGGTTCCCTGGTGAGATACAACAAATTATGGACACCTAAGGAAATATTGATTACTTCCAGCAAATTTTTGATTACTTCACTCAGCTCCTGGGAGAGGACAAGGCAGAGTCTCCTACCCTGTGCCTGACTGTCTCCACCAGGGCCCAACAGCTGAAGACCACCCGGGCCCAGCCAAGGCCATGCTGGGACCACTCTCCACACACTTGGATGAGCCTCACGCATAAAAGAACTGGCAGAGGAACCCAGGTGTGTGGGACCCGGGGCTGAGATCTCCAAGCCTGCACGGTTTGGGACTGGACCTGCCAGTAACTAGACAGTTACACCCACCAACTGCCGTGTAACTCCAACAACGGCCAGGATCCAGAGATTATCACACTCAGCCGCGCGACATCTTATCATCTCATTCCTACTTTGGACAAACCGGCAGGCTACCAAATGTAACCTGCCCACACGGCAGAGTCTGGCAAACTCCCTGTGGTATACCCAATATGCCAAATACCAGTAACAATGATGGGTCTCATTCTCCTAACCCTGAAAAAGCCTTGAATATGGCACTTTTTAAAAAAAATCTCAGGGCTAGGACGAAGAAGACGCTACTGGCACCTGCTCGAGGCAATCGACGAACAACAGGGTGGTCGTGATCGTGATCCAGCAAATTATAACAAGCAATATGAAAAATTATTCAGGGCTTGCTATAAGGGCAGGCTTGAGGGGTGGTTGGGAAAATTGGAAATAACGGTGTTGGGAATGCGAACTGGTGGTGGGATTGGTGTTGGATTCCTGAATGTGATAAATCATGAACAACTTCATAAAAATAATTAAAAAAACCCCTCAAATCCAAGCACATTCTAGAACATTATAAAGTGCTAAAATCCAAAGAACAGAAAACTGCAGGTATCTAGGGAGTAAATAATTTCATGTAAGGAAATCCTTCTAAGATATTCATGGGCTTTTCCACAGAAGCCATACAAGACCGAAAGTAAGGGCACAGATACTGAAAAAAAGAAATGGCACAACCATACAAGACAGAAAGCAATGGCACAAGTTCTAAAGAAAAATGACTTTTAGCTGGCAATACTCCAGCCTGTTAGACTCATTTAGGATAGAGGGAAGGATAAAGTGTTTCATAGATAAAAAGAATTTACAAAAAAAAGACAACTCAAGGGGAACATTTACAAAGTATAAATGACATTAAATACTTTCAGTAATCACCTTTAGTAATCCAAAATTTCTGAGCTGACCAAATAAAATGCATAAAATGGCAGAATGAATTAAAAAGACAATAAGCAATCCAAAAGTCAACATTCTGCTGCCTACAGTAAACATATCTGGCTCTCAGAATAAAGGCATAAAACTAAAGGTTGGAAAACAATCCTGCAAGTAAACGAACATCCATTTTTTTTCAGTTTTAACAAAATAGACAAAACTAATATATCTAAAGTGTACATCGCGATAGGTCCAACATATTTATATACTGCATAATAACCCCCGAATAATACTTCATTCTAATATAGGTATGGAGAACTTGTTAATATTTTAATACAGTAGAGACAAAAATGGAATTTTTCCAAGGAAGCATTTATTCAGAATTACGGGAAAACAAAACTATAAAGCATAGAAATACACTGAACACAAGCATCTTATTTGTTCTGAAATCTTGGGGGGAAAAAAAAACTTGTTTCTACTTACCTGAGGTAGATTTCGGTTGGCACTGTCTCAGGGAACCTTCATCCTTCCCAGAAGTGACCTAGTTTTGGTCCAGGCTCCTCAGCGGGCCTGCCCAACCTCAGATTCTTGCTATCTGAATATTGACACCTTCTCCCCAGGGAAGTCCTCATTTATTTTATATCCTAAGCTCTGTTTGAGGGACGGACCGTTCTCAGATTAGAGACAATTAACATGAAAGCTTTTAACTATCTCATGGTGATTCAATAATAAAAAATTAAAGAAAAAAAAGAGACAATTTCCAGAAAGATTAGTTTTATCATTGCTCTTCCAGTAGTACCAACTGTTTCTTTCCCCACATCGTAGGAAGTAGCCACATACTTAATTCCAGTGTCACCGTGCCATAGACCCAATACTGTTGTAAGTTATGACAGTCAAACACGCTAGTGACAGGCATTGATTTTCAAAGAGAAACAAAACTGTTCTATCACACTGGGCAATTCAACGTGGCATGAAAACTACTGAAATGCATCAAATAAATTTCCAGGTGGGTTTCTAAGTGAAAAGAAAAAAATATACTCTAGAATCGATTCCTTCTTTTGAGCTATATTCACGGACCATAAGATGATCAAAATCACCCGCCAGCCACTGGCATCAAAGAGAAGGGTCATGAGCACAGTTACCTCTTGTGAGTCTGAGTACCACATTCTCTGAGGTTCAGTTATTTGCTAAGATTAACCAGAGATTCAGACTAGCAGTAGCATACTCCGATAACCTAGAATCCAAATGTGAGAAGCATATATTCATATTGCCTTTTACGGGAAGAGAAAAATCCCAGAAGTGTCCATTTATAAGTCCCTGGGCTAATCATAGTATTTCTAGAGATGTTACTAATAATCATATTACCCTGTTAAATAGGATAAATTGAAAATAAATGTTTATCCTTAAACCTCTGATGAATCAGCTAACTACCCTTCTAGTATTCCAACTTCTGCATTTCAAGCACAATATCTTCTGTTGTGACTGCACACCTGAGAATAAAAAGGATCCTCATTTTCATTAGCAGAACTGAAATAAACAAAAGGCATAGCATTATGGGCCCTAATCTGTTACTCTCTGCAGAATGGTAGAAAGAAAAGATGCCAGCTTTGGAGTCAAGATACTTAAAAAATACAACCTAGTTTCTCCGTTAACCACATTCTTATGTCCTTTGCTATTCAGGCTTTTGAACCTCTTTCCTTGAGCATTTTGTGAGGAGCAAATGAGGGATCTTCTGTTCAAGGAGACATGATAAAGGAAGCCATGGAAACTATGGGTATTAGCCACATTAGAACTAGAATTTGCATTTCTGACCTGAGACTCTAAAGCTGAAATCTCACTTACTAGTGGTAACCTGTAAGGAGTTTCAAGACAAAGAAATTGCACTAAGGAAAAAGCTAAATACTATGCCTCTTTATAACACAGGCGCTCGAGGGAAGTTTTGGGGAGAGTTTTGCTACAGGATAGCTACTCCTTAGCTGCTTGGTTCTCACTGCAAGCAGAAGTTTCCATGCTACTATCAACACACTAACCCCCTCTAGCCCAGAATAAAAAATATCAACAGAGGCCAAGTCGATAAATTCCTTTCCCCAATAGTAACACATGCCACACCTCTATTGTAAGGTTACAGTCCTTTCCTTTATTGGATTGCCAAATTAAAAAAATGGAAAGTAAAGCAATCATTAAGTGGTTCAGGTAAAGAAAACATCTTGACCTGAGTGACCCATCAGGTCTACTCTGACTTGCCCTAAAATTCCTCCCAGAAAAAGCTTCTGGTATTTCAGTATTTTTTTTATCCTGACTCTATTAAAACCATCTGGACCGTATGGGTCAACCACCTATGAGCACAGTTCTCCGCAAACCTATTATTATGTACATTGTTCACAGTTTGATCTCTCCCTAGAGCAGATTTCTCTGCAGAGGCAGCGCTCTGGGACCCATTAAGGTAGGCGTTTCAAGCAAGGCGTTTCTTTTTTCAGATTTGGTATTAGTCTGAACTTATCTGAGTTCCCCGGAGTACTACCACAAGAGCTGGTCACTGATAGAAATTTTGTCATTCACTTTGGAAGGTCTTTCTTTAGAACAGGTCATTTTTGTTAAGAACCCCAAAAGACGCTCCAAGCCCCTGTTTTTGCCCCATTCAGGAGAAACACACAAATTTCCCCGAGTCTGGCTTCACTGATGACTAAGTCAGAATTCTGATGGCTTGTTTCGCTCTTGCCGAGCTTTCTCCTCATTGTGGGTTTTCTGAAGTCCAGAGGGCTGTGCATCCGGCCCGAGGCCCAGATGACCTTGAGGATACTGGAAAAGCTGCCCTCGGTATGAATTCCCTTAGAATGGAAAGGGGGGCGCGCTCCAGAAAGCTCACACTCATTGCCTCGGAAGGGTTCTCATCTCGGAATCCCGAGCCCCTTGGAGGTGCTCACGTATGAACTCAACTAACGCTTTACCAAAACTCGGGGCATCTGTACGGTTTCTCACTGGAGTGACTAGTAAGGGGTCCTGTCAGGCAGCTCTGCGCAAACCATCTCACTGCCTCCAACTGCAGATTCTCTGGTCCCCACTCAGGTCTGAGGAAAGTCTGAGATTTACCTAAGCGTTTTCTTTCCATCTTAATGAGTCTTAAACATGTACATTAAAAAAATAATAATAGGGGGCTGGTGCGATAGCACAGTGGGTAGGGCGTTTGCCTTGTATGCGGCTGACCCGGGTTCGAGTCCCAGCATCCCACGTGGTCCCCTGAGCACCGCCAGGAGTAACCCCTGTGCATGGCCAGGTGTGACCCCAAAAGCAAACAAACAGACCAAAAAAATTAAAAAATAATAATAATAAAATTTCAGTCTGGTCAAGACATCTGCGAGGCGTCTGCCGCATGCGGGGGGCTCAGCTCAAGGCCTTTTTCACCCACGTGACACAGGTAGGGTTTGTCACCGGCGTGGCCCGCGGGATGCGGACCGAGCGCCGCCGCAGCCTGGTGGAAGCCTTTGTCGCGGGCGCTGTACCGGCACCGCAGCTCCTCGGTCTGAGTCCGCATTTTCTGCTGCGCCACGAAGTCCATGCCCAGGAGGAAGCCGCCGTCGCAGGCCGCCCACTGGCGCGGCTTCTCGTCCACGTGGATCCGCTGGCGGACGATGAGGTCGGGGCCGCGGCCGAAACCCGGGTCGTGCTCCAGGCACCGGAAGGCGTGCGTGTGCGTGGCCTGGTGCCGGATGAGGTTGGCGCTGCGCGTGAAGCACCGCATGCACTCCAGACACTTGTAGGGCTTCTCGCCCGTGTGCACCCGCTGGTGCACGATCAGGTCCGACTTCTGGCCGAAGCACTTCTCGCACGCGCCGCACTTGTAGGGCTTCTCGCCCGTGTGGACCCGCTTGTGCACGATGAAGGCCGAGCGGTGCCGGTAGCTCTTGTCGCACTTGGTGCACTTGTAGGGCCTCTCCCCGGTGTGGGTCCGCTGGTGGCTGATCAGGTCCGACTTCCCGCTGAACGCCTTCTCGCACTCCAGACACTTGAAGGGCTTCTCGCCCGTGTGCGTCCGCCGGTGCCGGATGAGGTTGGTGCTGCGACTGAAGCACTTGTCGCACTCGCTGCACAGGTACGGCTTCTCGCCCGTGTGGCTCCGCTGGTGCACCAGCAGGTCCGAGCTCTGGCCGAAGTTCTTGCCGCAGACGTCACACGTGTAGTATTTTTTCCCCGCGTGCGTCCTCTGGTGCCCCGACAGGGCCAGGTGGTGCCAGAAGCTCTTCTCGCATTTGCTGCATTTGTAGGGCTTCTCGTAGCCGTGGAGCCTCTGATGCGACACGAGATCTGAGCCCTGGGGGAAGGTTTTCTCACACATATCACGGCGATAAGGTTTCTCCCCAGAGTGGGTTCGTTCGCACATAATAAGAGCTAGGTTTTCACAGAAGTTTTGCTCACGTTCAAGGCACTGGTATATCCGATCATCTATCCGAGTAATCTCATGTACCTGAATAAAAATCTTTTTACCCTTCTGAGGGCAAACATGATGGATTTTCTTTCTTTGAGTTCTCCGATTATACCTTTCTTTGGAAGCGTACATTTTCCAGGTCTCGCTCCTAGGGAGTTTCCCACTGGTCTTCCTGACCCATCGTTCTCGTCAAAGTCATTTTCTTGATAAAGACTTGAAGGGGACATCTATTAGAGACCTTCCAGTCATGAGAAATTTGTCTCCAGAGGTTTCCAGCATCATATACACTAATTCCTGCCAGCCCTGTGAGACAAAACAGAAATATTATTTATATGCCTTTGATTAAGAGACAAACACTGAAAATTAAAATCACTGCACAAGAGACAGAAATTCAGCCTTGGATTTTAGGTTTTCCAGTTCTCCTCTTTGTTAACACAAAACCAAAGTCACATATGGTTAAAGTACCAGGAAATCCTTTTTTTTGGCGACACCCTGCAGTGCTCAGGGCCTGTTCTTGGCTCTGTGCTCAGGGATCCCCCTGGTGGGCCCAGGGGACTACACATAGCTGGGGTTAAATGTACCGGGTGTGTGCAAGGCAAACACCCCACGCACTGTACTGTTTCCTCTAACCCCAGGAATTAGTTTCTTTTATGAATGTGGGGGGTCTCAAAATTAGGGCTCTTTATCTTCCCCTCATTTCAGCCGGTAATCAAGATAGTCTTAATGATTAACATGCTCACTAGAAAGAAAACAGATGAAAGGAGACTGTGAATTATCTATGGAATCTTACTCACAAATGGATCTTGGAAGAGATCAACATGCTGCAGAGATGTCTCTCCACCCTGCACTAGGCTGATTTCAAGCGGGCACCTGAAGAGGGGCAGGTGTGTCCATCCATCTGCCCCAAAGAGCTCTGGCAGCTGCAAACCTCCAGAACCCAATCGCCGCCATGCTCAGGGTGGACCTTCACAGGCTTGCCCCGAGCCCCCCACCCGTGAGAATGAACCCGCTGAAAAACTCAGGTATGCAGACTTGTGACTGAAATCTCCAGTCTCGTGTGGATTCGGGAATGGGCCCCTCCTCCCATCTCCCTGTGCTTCCGGTTTCTGGCAGTCATGTCCAAGAACTGCCTTTGGGTGCCATTAAAGTGCACTGACATTCACGAGCAGAGACTCACAAATGAATCTCAGTAATGGGCAACATGCTGCAAATATGCTGCCGGACCCCAAAATCACCATCCAACATTAACAACACTAATCTCCAATGCAGGGGTTTAATGACTCCAAGATGAGGTACATCAATTTTCACACACTTTCCTTTAAGGAAATCTTTTTGAATCATTTTCAATTATTAATAACGACAATAAAGGGGCTGGAGCGATAGCACTGCGGGTAGGGCGTTTGCCTTGCACGCAGCCAACATGGTCAACACAGGTTCGATTCCCAACATCCCATATGGTCCTCTGAGCACCACCAGGAGCAATTCCTGAGTGCATGAGCCAGGAGTAACCCCTGAGCATCTCCGGGTGTGACCCAAAAAGCAAAAAAAAAAAAAAAAGACAAAAATGAATTAGCATCTGCCTTTGGGGCAGGCTTGGGTGGTGGTGGTGGTAAAATCTGAAATAATGGTGGTGGGAAAGTGTAATGGTGGTGGGATTGGTGTTGAAATATGGGAAGCAATCAATTATTGTGAACAACTCAACTCCATGAAAATTAAAAAAAGAATTATCCTAGCTGTGTGATGTTAGGTAAGTCACCTTAGCGTTCTGTTCCTGGTTTCTTCCTGCAAAATGGATTAATAATAGACATTGCCTACCTGTCTGAGATAAATAGTAAGTTAACCACTCTTACACTTATTAGTAAGATGATAATATAAGATTCTTCTTTGGTATCACCATTGATCACTAACCTTAATAAAAAAAAATTACTAACACTCTCAAACAAATTCACTGTCACTGTCCTCCCGTTGTTCATCGATTTGCTTGAGCGGGCCCAGTAACATCACCAATGTGAGACTTGTTGTTACTGTGTTTGGCATACCGAATACATCGCGGGTAGCTTGCCAGGCTTTGCCGTGTGGGCGAGATACTCTCCGTAGCTTGCCGGGCTCTCCGAGAGGGGCAGAGGAATCGAACCTGGGTCGGCCGCATGCAACTAGTGAAGAAAAAGGACTGAAGGCCACAAGGAATGGGAGCTACGCTGCTTAGACACAATCTAGAATGAGAACCTCCGAAAACTAAAGAATCCACTTACCCAGAACTTAAGATGGATAAAAAGCAGTCTTCACTTCCTGGCCCTGAGAATTTGACTTCTCAAGGAAAAAAACATTCTGCAAAACAAAAGGATAAGTAAAGGGTAGTCACAGATGAAGGAAAATAAACCCTCAATGGATTAAAGAATTGATCATTCAAGAAAAAACAGAGGGTTTGAAATCCAATCAAAACTTTTACACAGCAAACATCCGAGAATTTTAGAATCAAATTAAAAAAAATTTTAGTTTACACAAAACTACCACAAGAATAAAAAAAAAAAAACCAAGAACTAGAAGAAGCATACCAGATATCTGACAATATCCAAATATATAAAGAACTCCCCCAACTCAACAACCCTATTCAAAACCTGAAAAAACACCACCACAGACATAGACATGGGCCATACACATGAAAATTATGTGTAATTAAAATATAAATCAAACCCACAATATGTTATTACCTCACACTGGTGAACATGACCTATATAAAGAATATTAGAACAGGGGCTGGAGTGACAGCACAGCGGGTAGGGCGTTTGCCTTGCACGCGGCCTACCCGGCTTCGATTCCCAGCATCCCATATGGTCCCCTGGGCACCGCCAGGAGTAATCCCTGTGCATCGCTGGGTGTGACCCAAAAAGCAAAAAAAGAAAAAACAAAACAAAAAAACTCTCTCTGGCACTGGAGAGTTATTTATAAAGAATATTAGTACAAAAGTGTTGCTGAGAAAAAAGGAACACTTCTGCTACACTTCTAGAGGGAACACTAATGGATGAAACATCTTTGGAAAATGGCATGGAGATTCTTGGAAAAAAAATTCTAAATTACCTACTCCATTACTTCTGGGCATTTATCTCAAGGCTATGAAAACACTAGCTTTCATAGGATATGTGCGCCTGGATATTCTCAGTAGCTTCCACAACAGCCAAAGCGTGCATTCAACCTAAGTGCCCATACACAGAAGACTGCTAAGAGCTCAGCTGCCATTAAAAAGTTGAAACTGTGGCCAGGGGTGGTTCGGTGGTGAAGCACAGGTTTCACATACGTGATCCCTGGAACCACAAAAGACAAAAACAAAATCATGAAATGAATGAATGGAACCTTTAAGTATTTATGCTAAGCGAAATAAGAATGGATGTGAAGGACTCTATGACGTAGTTCTGCTCATATGGAATACAAATAATTGGAGCAACAAGACTTGCAGGAAGATAACAAACCCCTAAGAGAAGTGGTTAGGAAAGGGAAGGGGTGGGGAGAATGCGGAGAGGGCGCCCTCTGGTGGCGGGAAGGCAATGGAACTGAACAGGGGGCCTGCGGACTATTATCCAATTACACAAGTATGAGCCCTAATATTTCACTAACCCGGATATGTCACAACAATGTAAGTTAATTTTTTAATTAATTTAAATGAAAAAATTAAATTATAGAAACACATGTTTTTAAGTGACGGAACGGATCAGGAAGAGAGCTGAAAAGGGCAAGCGCAAAGGCGCACACAGGACGCTCAGGTTGGATTCCTTGCTGGGAGTAGCCCTGCGCGTTGCTGTCTGCAGCAAAAAGACAAGAAGCAACAACTTACAGGAAGCAAGACTATTATTTTTGCATACATTTTTAATATAGAGGTTATTTATTTTGCATACAAAAAGAAACTTAATATTTAAAATATTTATCACTGCATTACATAATTAAAATAGAATAATAAAAATATTTCATATGTAATAATAAACTTACAGCAGTAATAAAGAATTATTAACAGCCTTACCACTTTTTATTTTTGTGGGAGGAAGGGGTTTGGGATCACACCCAGCAGTGCTCAGGGGTTACTCCTGGCTCTGCACCCAGGGATCACTGTTGGTGCGCTTGGGGGACCATATATGATGCCAGAGACTGAACCCGGGTTAGCCCCATGCAAGACAAGCATCTTATTCTAGCCCCGCCTTACCACTGTTTATCTATACAATAAATCAACAAACTAAGTTCTTAAATCATATACTAAGAAAAGGAAAGTTAAAAAGGAAAAAAAGTAGAAAAGTGAAAATGCACTAAAGAAAAAAAAAAAACAACCTAACCATAAATTAAAATCTTATTTCAGGGCTAGAGAGGTAATACAGGTGTTATGGTGCTCACCTTGCTCGCAGCCAATTCCAGGTGACTCTGACACCACGTATCGACTTGCGGCACACCAGGAGTAACCCCCTAAGCGCAGAGCTGGCAGGAAGCCACCCACCTCTCCAACTCCGGTATTTTTTGGGTCACACTTGGTGATGCTCAGGGGTTACTCCTGGCTCCTGGCAGTGCCACATGAGATGCCAGGGACAGAACCCAGGTTGGCTGCATGCAAGGTAAACAAACGCCTTACCCGCTATACCATTGCTTCGGCCCCCCAATGCTTCCTTTGAAAAATTTACATGAACTGGAGTGATAGCACAGTGGGCAGGGCGTTTGCCTTGCACTCAGCCAACCTGGCCGACCCAGGTTCGATTTCTCCACCCCTCTCGGAGAGCCCAGCAAGCTACTAGAATATCTCGCCTACACGGCAAAGCCTGGCAAGCTCCCCGTGACATATTCGATATCCCAAACACAGTTAACAAGTGTCACAATGGAGACGTTACTGGGCCCGCTCGAGCAAATCGATGAACAACGGGAGGACAGTGACAGTGACTAGTTAATAAATTCACAATGAAAATAGGGGAGAAAGCATAAACTTATAAGAATAAGAGAGGCCGGAGCAACAGCACAGTGGGTGGGGGGGGGGGGGGTTGCCTTGCACCTACAGGAGAAATTCCTGCGTGCAGAGCCAGGTGTTCAAGCTCCAGCACCCCAGGTGGTCCTCAAACCAGGAGTGATCCCTGATCACCTTGCTTTGGGTCACACAACCAGGTATGGCACAAAATCAAAACCAGCAAGAAAAAGAAAGTAATACAGCATGACTACGTAAGTTATTCAAGGAATGCAAAGTTGGTTCAATAGTAGAAAACATGTTTATCTGATACTGCAAAGCAACAGCCCCAGGGAGAAAATCACATGAGGATCTCCACTAGATGCTAAGCACT